TTTTTTCTAAAGCTCAACAGTAAGATTTTATTTCTGATTGTCTGGTCAGGCCAATAAGTTTTAGATTTCTACTTGCCCTGTTAATGTTTTCTTAGACTCTTTGAATCACAGAAGATTGTAAATGCATTTTCTTTATTAATTTAAAATAATTGTATTTTAAATAACAATAATTATATATATCATTAAAATATAATTCAATTATATCCATAATTTTAAAGTTTTATTTTTAAATATATTTTTTCCTATTTTTTTTATTTTTTTAGATATATTACTTAATATTTATTGTAATTTCTTTTAATTATTTATTATTATACATTTTTATTTTTTATTTTATTATACATATTTAGAAAAATTGTTCTATATTTCCATCAAATTTTACATTTTCTTTATAAAGCAAAGCATAAAAATGAACATGAATCATCAAGAAATGTAAGGTTTTGTATTTCACTTAGTATCAACAGCTTTTAAATATCAGTCAGCAAACTTACTTTTCAATCACTTTTGCAGTGAGCAAACTCACTACCCGATTAAGTAGATTGAAACAAGGGGCAGTGGCATTGCAGCAATGGAGACAGAGGACACGAAAAGAATGAATGAGGGATTGAATGAGAGGTCAGTGATAGAGTGAGTTCAGTATTGACAGAGGGTCAGAATGAGAAGGAATCCCCAGGCTGATGGATGAGAGTCGGCCTTTGAGAAGAGACAGAGCTGCAGACACATGAGCACAGCAACAGACAGTGCAGAAACAGACAGATGGTTAGACGGATGAGCGCGAGTCCTCTCTGCTGGACGGATGGTCACACTGCTCAGAGCAGGTTCGAGTGAGGAGTCAAAGTTCACGCTGGGTTTAGGGTCATCATCACTGACACAGAGTGATGAGTCAAAGGAATATTCTTAAAACACTAAATCAACTTTTTCACAAGCTCTCTGAAACTTTTTCAGCCTTGACGGGTAATATGAATGGCTAGTTAAGTAGTGTAGAGGTTAGTTGGGTGGACTGATGGTCTGTGTACTGGTGTGAGCAACAGGCCAGATCCTATCTATCTATCTATCTATCTATCTATCTATCTATCTATCTATCTATCTATCTATCCATCTATCTATCTATCGTTCGTTCAGTCTATTGTTCTGTCTGTCTGTCTGTCTATCTATCTCTCTCTCTCTCTATCTATCATTCTATCTCTATTTAATGTTCCGTCTGTCTGTTTGTCTGTCTATCATTCTATCTTTTGCTTTGTCTCTGTCTGTTTATCATTCTGTCTGTCTGTCTGTCTGTCGTTCTATCTATCTATTGTTCTGTCTGTTATCTATCTATCTATCTATCTATCTATCTATCTATCTATCTATCTATCTATCTATCTATCTATCTATCTATCTATCCATCTATCTATCTATCGTTCGTTCAGTCTATTGTTCTGTCTGTCTGTCTGTCTATCTATCTCTCTCTCTCTCTATCTATCATTCTATCTCTATTTAATGTTCCGTCTGTCTGTTTGTCTGTCTATCATTCTATCTTTTGCTCTGTCTTTGTCTGTTTATCATTCTGTCTGTCTCTCTGTCTATCTGTGTATCATTCTAGCGTTCTATCACTCTGTCTATCATTAGACCGAAGGAATGATCCACCAATCCCTTATAAAGAAAGTCTCAGTCAGCTAGTTTCAGGCTCTGGACTGTAGTTTTTCCAGAGATCCCTGAGGGAACTGGAGTTTTTAAAGACTTACAGTAACTGAAATTCATTTACTCCTCCTCCTTCCCTTCTTTCTCTCCTCTCCCTGGTGTGCGCTTTGTGCTGTCTGGCAGCAGATCAAAGCACATTTGTGAATGTCACCCATGGGTATAGAAAATGGAAAAAGAGAGCGGGAGAGATCGAGAGAAATGAGATAAACCATTCATTAGTGATAAACTAAACTCCGACCGTTCCGTTTAATGTGGGCATAGTTCAAGACTTGGGCATTTATGAGTATTCCCACCCCTTTCTCCTCCCCTCTCCTCCTCCTTCCTCCTCTCTCTGTCATCAAGTGATGATAAATTAAAAGAAAGGTTGTTCTTTAGAGTCTTGTTGTTGTATTTAGTAAACACACATCAGTGTATTTATTTATATGGTGTATATTACATAACAATGTACCATTTCTGTTGAATCTATCACCCACACATACATCATATCCTGCACTGACTGTCAAATCAGCACTATTTTAAGTAATGCAAGTATAAAGCATGAGAATACACACTCTAATACTTGCGTCTTCAACTTCCTAGAACAAAGACTGCTTGTTTGATATATTTATGTATATTATGTATTTAATGACATTGCAAATAACCATTACTGATGTACAGTAATCAAAATGTAATTTAACAATACATTTGAGGTGGAAGGGACAATAGAATATTTAGCTGAACTTTGAGTTTGTGAGATTGTGCTCTTGGTAATAGTTCATGTGGTCTCTGTATGTGTCTTTAGCAGTGACTCATGCTGTCAGATTGATTCAGTGCACCTTTCCTTTAGCCTCAGGGATGAGTCTGAGAGTTCAGACACCCATACAGGAGTAAAACACCATTAAAACTGTTGAGGGTCGTAGTAAGTCATGATTATAGTAGCTAAATCATGATAATACCCATTAGATTGTAGCACTCCCTGTGTCCTTTATCTGCTCCCGTCTCTCTATGCTGTGAAAATCTGCTCTTACTGACTCAGAAACATTTGCATCATCAAGGCAAGTTAATTTTCTCAGGTTTTTGGTTCTGAATAACCAAAACATCACTCATACGTGTTTGATACAGCAAATATGAGGGAGGAGGAGGAGGACTGTGGTTGAACCTTTTACTTTGGACTTCATCCAGGCTACATACAGTTTTCTTTGTGTTTGAAGCATCTTTACACCAGGTATGCTGCAAAATGAACTCACTTGTGGTATTTGCTCTCATTCTGAACTTATTTGATCTCGGTTACCTGCCACAGGGACATTTCTCATTACCAGGTGCAGCGGAAATGCCCTATGGGCTAGGTGGGCAGGACCTCCTGTACCTTATTTTTTAACTATAATCCGGTGCTCCAACATAAATCCCTCACAACATTCAAAACTGTGTAAAGGAAGGTGGAGGCTTTACAAGTAACAGCTTCCTGGAATGTGATTGAATTTATGTAGCTGTTTGACTCAACACAGTTAACCGGGCCTGAAACTGAATGCCTGTCAATCATAAAGTTCCACAAGCCCCGCCCTTTATGTGTGTTCATTTGTAAAATATTTAGGCTAATTTGAGTATTAGAATGTAGGTCTAATTTTTAAACATTTCAACCCATTTAGAACAATTTTATAGATTTTTAGTGCAAAAAAAATAACAAAAACTATATTCCATCTGGACCTGCTTTTAATCTTGCTGTGGGCCCCAGTTATATTTTTATGTCACCTAATCTTTGTTCTTTCCGCACCATTTATGTGAAGAAAATCGCCTTCAGACTTGGAAAACATGCAATATTATGTGTCTGAAATGTCATTAGTCCATCGAGAAGCAGGATGCTGGATGGGTTAAGTTGAGTCTGCAGGGTTTTTAGGAAGTGTGCAAAAGGCGGACAAACCTATGTAGTGTCACTGTTTCACCACTGGAAATAAGACGCATGCTCTGGCAGCTGGAAACCATTTGCTTCCAAAGATGTTAAGGAGTGGAAACACACACACACACACACACACACACACACACACACACCCACACCCA